GCAATTTGGTATCTGAGATCCATGATTTTCTCCATTGACTCAAATATTTTGTATACTATGCTATCAAGTATTTTGTATACTTTACAATCATCACCCAAGTGATACTGACCTCCCGTTATTCCTACCATAGAGTGGTGTATCTTTCAACTTTTCTTTTCTTTACCCTTTGCTCCTAGTCAGATACCTTGAGGGCACAGGGATGTAAGCTGCCATTCAACATTAAAGTGATTTCAGTTTGCACTTCATCTTGGATTAAGACCATCAGTAACTTCTGTGAGACTGAGGGTCTCATTAAAATGTTACTGCCCTGCAAAGATTATGAAAAATTTTTCTTCTTCAGGTAACATTCTCCTGGTACCTGGTGCATACTTCTTCAGTGCCTCCTTCGGCATGAAAAAATTAGAAACCAAATCACCATTGATAAGGGAAATCTGTGTCTCCCAGTCCTTTTGCTATGTAGCCCAGGCTGGTCCCGAACTCTTGGCAATCCTCCTACTTCAACCTGCCAAGTGCAGGTAGGCATGCATCACTACCTCTGGCTTAAATTTTGGCATATTTGTATATAGATAAGGAGATCTCTTGAAAATGGGGTCCAAGTCCAAACACAAAATTCATTTATGCTTCAAGTATACTGTACCTTATACATATAGCCTGAAGCTAACTTCACATAGTATTTTTAGTGAACCTGCATTTTGACTGCAACTCATCAAATGAGATCAGAAGTGAATTTTCTACATGTCAATACTTTAAAAATTTAGGTTTTGGGGACATTTCCGATTTTAGATTTTCAGATTAGAGACATTCAACTTGTATTTAAAAGTCTAATGTGAAAACAATCCTTGTTTCTGATTATGCATGCAGTTGCTCTCAGTAGAACAGCAAGGATAAACAAAGGTTATACAGTGGCAGCCTGAATCACTTTCTTAATAAATAATTTTCAAGGACCTAATCACAAAAGATATACTCGAGGGTTACATTAAGGTATCTATATCTATATAAGCTTACTTAAGATATATATAATCTAGTTGGGAAATGTGAATAATATACTCTGAATCCCAATAAAAATACATAAAAGTATGTAATTAAATGCTAAGTCACATAGTATACATTAGCATTATAGGAGCTTAGATTAAAATCTGGCGACCTGATTTTTATATGCTAAAAACGTTTCTGTGTGATAAAATAAAAAGAAATATATATTCAAAATCACTTTGAAAATTGTGGAAAATAGTTTTATGCACTGGATATCAACAACTTACTTGAAAGTAAGCTACTAAGGGTTGCCCATATAAAGACAACTAGAATATTAATTCTCTAACATATTTGGATGAAACATTGACTACTTTATTTAGATCTGACCTTTATGAACAAAAGACACATGTAAAAATAGATTCTCAGTCATCTAGGAAAAAAAAACATAATTAAGAGCCCAGAAATCGTGAAGTGACAGTTTCTATTCAAAATGGAGAGCATAAGAATCCCCATATATCAGTTCAGCGCCTGGGTGTCAGGTACTGTCTAAATGAAAATCCACGCAAGGGAGGCAAACACATCACTGCTAATCCAGTCAAATTAGGTGAGATTCCTAGTTGATATTACATTTGCACTTTAAAATTTGGGTGTGACCCACACATCTGAAAATACATTTAAACTGCACTAATAGCATTTATAACATTACAGTGTATCCTATGTAAATGACAAAGAATCCATGTACTGTTTTTGGTATGATTTAATTTTCACAAATATATGCCTTGACTCAAGAAGAAACTATTATTTTTGCATATACAATAGACCCTAGATTTTTCTCATTCAAAATATTTAATAAAATCCAGTTATTTGATTAATTGCTTTGACTGTAGGCAACAGAATAGATGATTTTTAAAGAACTTAGTTCCCCAAGGCATAACTTGTACAGCCTGATTTTACACTGTAACAACACTGAGTATGAAACAACCATAGTGGAAAATGTATTTTCTTTTCTTTCTACTGATTATCTCACAGATTAACCTTCATTATGCTGCAAGTATATCTTCACCATTTCTCAAATATTAGCTACTGTTCTTTGATAACAAAGACAACAGACTTAAAAATAAGCAGTCAATAAAATTTACTTAGAATTTAAGGTTTTTCTTAGATTTTAGAATTGCCATCTATTAATAGCAAGTGATAGCTTACTGGTTTCCCATTTATAGCAAAAATATAAATTTCCCCTATAAATAACCTGAGAAAATTAGGCAATTTACAGAAAAATATTAGAAAAACAGTAGTACAAATGATACTCAGGATGGCTACATTTGTGCAATATCCATTCACAAGTGACTAAAGGTGAGGAAACAGATATAAAGTAAACATGTTAATGTATTTATTCATTCATTGATTTCATATTAATTACTGTTAGCATTTTCAATCATGCAATATAGGAATTTCTAAGTTTTCATTTTTGTTGGTAGGGAACTGCAATCTATACTTAACCCAAAGAATGTGTATAAAATAAATTACAACAAGGGGAGTTGTAATAACATTAATGTGAAGTAGTTTCATGGTTATTCCTCAGGAGTTTGGAGATGTCATTAAATACTGTTGTATCTTCACATTGTGAACCTAGAAGTTCATATTTAAGAATACCATATAGGGCCATGGATTTAGCTCAGTGGTTCTGCCGCCTGCCTTGAAGAACAAGGTCCTGAGTTCGATCCCCGATACCAAAACAAAAGAATACCATATTGGCACTATCACATTAAAGCACAGCCACCTGAAACTCTAAAACAATGGTCTTCATCCTTTGTCCCACTATAACACGTGGAAAACAATATTCATATCTTAGATACAGCCTTGGGGTAGACTCAGACCTTTATAAAATTCTCCCCTCCATACCAATTTTTTCCAGAATATTTAGGTAATACAGAGCTATAGATGTTAATTATGTACAGTTTCCACATGATTCTTTCCATCTAAGAAAGTAAATTAAATGTTCAATAAATAAAATACACTAATATAATGTGATTTTTAAACAAAACAATTATACATTTCAGTGCTTTACCTATTCTTGTAACAAATGCTTAAGGTATAACTCAAAACTGATCTCATGACACCTTAGTTTGAACTTGCGTCCCTATTCTTGGAGTTAATGGCAATGGCACGTCTTTGTGTCTCTCAAAAGCTAGAAATGCCAAGGTAGCAAGTGGAATAAAGCATGCAGATGAAAGGACTGAATTCCACAGGGCTGGTGCCAACGATTTGTAATTTGATAAAATAGTCCAAACTTACCTGCAACACTGTAAAATGTATGACTTTTATAAAATGCAGAAAAAACAATTTCATACGTCTAGTTTGTTTTTTTTTTTTTTTTGGTGGTACTGGGGATTGAACTCAGGACCTTGTGCTTGCAAGGTAGGTGGCAGAACCACTGAGCTAAATCCCAGGCCCATCAAATGTCTAATTTTTTTAATTGAAAAATAGGTGGTGACCTGAATTTTCTTATGTACATTACTATACTCTTAGATATTAGTAGAAAATTTTCTTACAGGTAAAATTAGCTTTCACTCATACTTCAAATGTTTTAGTGAATTCTGATTAAACTTAAAAATATATAAATGTGTAAAGTTTTAAAAATTGGAAGGTGCCGGGCATAGTGGCATTTGCCTGTAATCCCAGAACCCAGGAGACTAAGGCAGGGGGATTGTCATGAGTTCAAGGCCAGCCTGGGCTACACAGCAAGTTTAAGGCCAGACTAAACTACATAGCTAGACCCTGTTTCAAAAACAAAAAAAAAAATTGGAAGGTATAACAAACTGTAGGAATAAGGAACACATTATATACAAACTGTCTTATAATGTCAATCGTTTGTTTAAAGGTCCAGAGATCTGATCAATATCACCAACATAAAATCAAACCTTATATTGGACAAACACAATCTGCCCTTTAGGAAAAAGAATTCTGTTTGTGTGGGGGTGGGTAAGTGTGAGTGTGTGTGTGTGTGTTCTGCTTTTGCTCTTATAAAGTCAATCAATATCAATCATTCTAAATTCATGATTATGTTACTAACTTACCTTTACCAAAATCGCGGGAACAGAGCCATGGCCAACATGATAGCATTGAGCATCTTAGTAATAAAGCCATCTTGTTTTGCATCTATGTTGACATTGGGAGGGCCTCAAACTGCCAATAATTCTTTTGAAGAAAATGTAATAAATGTAGAGACGTGGCCTAATATTACAGCATATCCATTTCTATGGAAAACATTCACTGCACATGTTAACTGTACAAAGAATGTGAACTGAGGAAGCTGAAGTGAAAACAGCACTAAATAATAATTTCAAATTAAGGAAAAATAATAAAATAGAATGTTAAGCTTGAGCCCTATATTTGTACATATGTTTAAATGGCAATCATTAAACTTTTTCTGAATTATCCAGATTTACCTAATGTTACTGTTGTACTTTCATCCTCTTTCACAGAAATTAGAAAAATCAATACATCTTTCTCATCACAAACCATCACTATAAAAATTTATATTTAAGGATCAATAATTTTAAATTAAAGAAAGTATAATATCATTTTAATCAAGTACAAATAAAAATAACTAAAACAAGAATTTTCTATATCAGAGTAAAGGAGATAGAAAAAATGATTCACTCTCATATCTCATAGGTATAGGATTTATAGAAATACCTACATAAAATACAGTTACTATATTTGTTAGTAGGTACACACTTTAAACATCAGTAGCTTAACCAGTTAAGTCTCATAAAGGAAGAAATGCAAATTTTGAAAAAACACCTATGTATAATATTTTAATCAATAAGTGAACACAGAAAAACACTGTAATATTTTAATCAAGAAGTGAAATCAAATTGCAATTGTGCTGGATGAACCAAACAGAATTTTCTGGCTATTTATATTAAAATGACCTCTTAAATATTATTCAGATATTTCAGGTCCAACTATAGTTCTGTGTTCACCCACTGGGCTTAACATCAACATGAGCTAATAAGTACTACCATGATCTTTGAGATTGCGAAGAATCACAGTAGGAAGGCTATGGGACTGCCAACCTGGCACTAACTCGGCCTCTAGATCCTTAACGTGGGACCTGACCATGAAGGATGGCACTTTCAGAAGCAGGTCAAGAGGCAGCAAAGCTGAAGAAATAAAAGGGGGAAAGGTATGAAAGCGTAACATAAATAATACCGAATTTTAGGAAGGTATGTTGTTTGATTTTATTGCTAATTTAAGACTAAATTACCTGGTCTTGGTCTTGATCCTATTCCACCAATGAACTCCCTGAAAACAGAATTGGAGACTATTAGAATGATTCTTTTGACTTGGATTTGACAAACATTTAGTAAAAGCTACACTCTGCTGTGGTCTACATTATACATATAAATAGAGGTTATTTTGCCTCAACATGTTCTGGAAAGTTTAATAAGGAGGTAAATAAACATATCCTATCACAAAGCAGGGTGGACATTCTGCTGACAAATGGAAGAAGTTTGTCCCACTGAGGTTGTTTATTATGAATGATTGTCTTGCTACTCTTAAAAATCAAAATAGTGATATTGTATTAAAAAAGAAATAACATTTAAATTATATATGCCATTTTTCATGATTTCTTCTGCTATCTTATAAGAAAGAAACCCATAAATATGAAATTAGACAATTTCTGCATTTAAAAGATCATATTTTACTTTCAGTTTTCATTATTAATACCCCTTGTTTGCCTTACCCCAACATTCTAGATTGCTTGCCCATTTTAAAGTTGATCTTAGAAACTTCTACCCCATGGAGGTGGCCTTAAATCCCAACAGGGACACAGATAAAATAAACTTCAGTTGCTTTTTTCCCACTGTAACCCGAGGACAATTTCTTTTTTTTTTTTTTTTTTTTTTTGTACTGGGGATAGATCTCAGGACCTTGTACTTGTGAGGCAGGCACGGTGCCACTGAGCTAAATCCCTGGCCCAATTTCTTAATACTACAGTTTTCTGTAATGAAATACAAAATATCTGTGCCCTAGTAAGTTATAAGAAACTTACTTCAATGTAAAACAATCCAAAAATTATACATTGGATATCTACAAAGCACATGATAGGTACTCAAATGCAAGTAAACATGGTTGATAATTCTCTTGTCCCAGCCTTTCATTTTAATCACAGAATTTTTAATACTTGCATGCAACCCATATCTAAGTTATTAGGTGTAACAAAATGGCACTCATTCACCTACCACCCAACATAAGCACTAGAATAATGCCAAACTTTTTGTATCCACCACAAGGGCCTTCTCCATCCTTTTCCATCCCCTTTGTCCCTCACCAAGCCAGCCCTCTCTTGATCCCACAATTTTTTCTGTTCCATTCCCAGCCCAAGTTTCCAGAACATGGACTGTAAATGAAATTTGTAAAATCGGCATGTCCCTAGCAGTAAAATTGTAAAACTGGCATGTCAAAATGGGCATGTCCCCAGCAGCGCCCATTTGCGGGCAGACAGCCTCAGAGCCAGGCTGGAGGACTGAACATCCACACTGGCTTCTTACATCCCACTATAGGTCCCAGAAAATGTTTTCTGGACAACTTCATTTCTTAGCTTTCTGGATGAATCTAGCACTGCCCAATAAAAATAGAATCCAAGCTATAAACATAATTTTTAAATTTCTGATATCCACATTTTTAAAAAAGAAAAAGTGAAATTCTTTTTTTCTTTAATCAAACATACTAAAAATATCATTTCAACACATTTTACACTTAAACTAACATTAAATGAAACTAGAAATCAGTTCCTCAGTTGTACTAGCCATGTATGAACTGCTTAACAGTCAGTCACATGCACCTAGCAGCCACAATCTTCAACATTCTAGATGCTTCTAAGGAAGGTGTTGCTCACTGTCCTCAGACATTCAGCATGACCTAGTGGTACCTCGAGGAGAATCTCACTATCATAAAAGATGAATAAGAATGAAACTTGTGAAAAACTTTAATCCACATTTGTGGGTATTTTTGAAAAGCTGATAACGACTTCCATGCTGAGTTACCTAGATAACTATGCTTGGTGCCTTGAAGAATTAAATATTTCAAACATTCTTACAAATTAAGATATGATACACAGTGTACACAAGTGAGATATGTGAAACAGATCACCCTGACAAGGCTGAGTTATACAGACTTGCTACTCCTTTCTATAATTCTAAATAAATCCCTTTTTAAGAAATTTTAGGGAACTTTTCAAAAATCACACATTCACCCATTAATTCATTCAGTAAATATGTGTTGGTTCCCACTATGTGCAGACACTATGTTAGGCACTACAGATGGGATGGTGAGCAGAAGGCCTCCACACTTTTGGAACCCACAAAATTGTATAGGGGAAAAAATGATGAATTTTATGGAAATTGTATTATTGACCACAAGAAAAGGTAGACTTCTAAAATTTCAAAATAAAAGAGATTCATTGTGACAAGAAGGGACAGATTTTAATGTGCAATTGCTGGCTTGATAGATAAACAAATGACTGAAAATATGCAGAGGCTGAGAGAGGTCCACATTGAACCACATTGAGAGTTTACACCCAAAGGAACAGAATGGCTACAGAGGCTGTTTTCTCATAGCAGATATGGCTGGAAAACATAAAAATGATTTAACAGAAAAAGAACATTCCAAACACATTTACTGGTGTAAAGGCTTACTGGTGTCCTCTAATAGCTTTAAAATGGGTACTGATCAACAGCACTTCAGGCTGATGAAAGAATTTCAAGGAAATTTAGTGGGGAGCAGATTCATATTCAGCTTTCTTCAGATCTGGGTGACCACATCCACAATGCATAAGAATGCATGAGTCAAAAAAAACAATACAAAAACTGACAGGCTGAAAATAAGTGTTAGTCTACAACTTTCACCTCAGACAATTATGTTAAGTAGAAAATGCAGGCATGAGCTTTGTGACTTTCTAAATAGACACTTCACTGAATTAATCTGAGCACAGCATGAATTATTTGGTTAATTGTTTTGTCAGAAGAGTCCTGGCCATTTGTGATGTTGGATGGTCACAAAAATCCACAATGAAGAACATCCTGAAGTCACGAGACAAAGCTCTAGAATTTTTTTCTCTGATAAGGATTCCTTTAAATATATCTCTCAATGAAGAAAATATTCTCTCATACATTATGAGTACATCACATAACTTAATTCAATCATGAAAAGTAGCCAATACTACTTGAGGTTGACAAGAAAAAGAAATATTTAACCTTATGCTATGTGAAGCTTGGCTCACAATATTAAGAAAATACGTTTTCAGGCTCCTATAGTCACATCATAAGAGTTAAGTGAATTTTACAGCTGAAAGTCTCTTTCAGGCAGTGATATTCATAAGCATGTGCTGTATGAATAAGTGACATTATGTAGGGTTGAGTTCTCATATTCAATAAAGGCTTGTATTTATCCATGTTAGTAGAGTTGGTATGATGATGACAAGAAAGTGGGATGATGCCCTGTAGGGCATCATCCTCCACACTGCAGTGACAGCTAGAAACAAGCAAGAAGCCACGAAAGTTTAGAATTGTCACAGAAAGAGACTAGTGGTCTGACAATCTTGCCTTGGGTTTTGTTGTGGCTGTTTTGTCTTGCTAATAAGATTGCTGGATTGTGACACTGGCAGATAGACTAAAGTAGTGACCAAGCAGTACTTATTTAGTGGAACTAAAACTAGATACAGATTATGAAAAAGGGTTTAAGAGAGAATAGCCACAGACTAAAGTAGTGACCAAGCAGTACTTATTCAGTGGAAATAAAACTAGATACAGATTATGAAAAAGGGTTTGAGAGAGAATAGCCACAAGTAAAAATAAGCAAGGCATCTGCTAAAAAAGAGGGAAGTGTCACAGGTCCTAACCCGGCATCGTTCTCGTCACATTTACAACAAACATCCACAATCATCTCTATATACAATGACTGAAGTCAGGAGCACACTCTTAAATAAAATTATCTATATACTAATTTATCAAAGAAGTTGTGAACCACAGACATCTCTGATACCACAAACATTCGATGTCTCAAACTAGCCTGCCAATGATACCCTGTTGCCTTGGCAACAGAAGGCAAATAGGCATGGAGAAATCTTGTTGCCTGAGCAACAGAATCTTAAAAAGAGGAGAGTAGAGAGAGGGAGAGGAAAAAGAATGGGTCTTATGCTGTGGCTATGACAAAGGCTATAGATTTAAGCCAGTAGTTAAGATTTCAGTCCTTTACAAGGAGAAATAGAATGTGTATTAAAATAAGTCATTCATCATTTAATTAACAAGTATTTGTGGACTGGTGGTGCCTATATGCAATACAATGTGCCCTGGAAAATACTAAGATAAAAAGACATAGAATGGCACATATCTGGTACACAGAATTAAATATCTATTACCTGAATAAATGAATGCATATTCCTTTTTATTTTTTTGAGCCAGGGTCTTGCTATGCTATGCTACCTAACTCATGCATGCAAGGGATTCTCCTGCATCAGCCTCTCAAGTAATTGGGACTACAGCATGTACTACTGCACCAAGTTCAAATGAATATTCTTAAGAAGGCCATTATACAATGACTAAAGTTTACTGGACCTGAATGTAATAGTTCTAGGCTGAAGCTGCTGTTTCCCTTATCAAATTCTACTGTAAAGGATAATTTTAATTGACATAAAATGCTGTGACTTACTGGATTAGAAAAATATATATCAGCCTATACAGATTACATAATAAAAATTGATAAAACTCTCAGGGGTTGCTGGCAGGTTTTTTCCCCTTTCTGTGGGTTGTCTCCTTTCTCTGTTAGTGGTTGGCTTTTTTGTCCAAAAGCTGTTTTATTTGATATGATCCCATTTATTGATCCTTGGTGTTATTTCTTATACAACTGTGTTCTGTTCAGAAAGTCCTGGCCTATATCTATGATTTTAAGTGTGTTACCTATTTTATCTTGCAGTAACTCAAACAGAGAACTAATGACTAGAATATATATAAAGAACTCAAAAAATTAGATCTCCAAAAATAAAAGACCCAACCAAAACAATGGGCAACACACTTCTTAGAAGATGAAGTAGAAATGGCAAATAAATCATGAAAAAATGCCCAACATTGTTGGCCATCAGAGAAATGCAAATTAAAACAATACTGAGATTCTAGTTTATGGGAGAAAGAATAGTCATCATCAAGAAATCAAATAATGACAAATGCTGGTGATGCTGTGGAGAAAGAAAAAACTTTTCTACATTGTTGGTGGGAATGTAAACTACTACAACCACTATGGAAATCAGTATGGAGATTTTTCAAAAAACTAAAACTAGAAATTCCATTTGACCTACCTATTCCCCTTCCAGGTATCTTCCCAAAAGAGTTAAAGACAACATATTACAGTGATACATGCATACATATATTTATAAGCAGCACAACTCACAATAGCTAAATTTTGGAAACAGCCTATATATCCACCAAAAGATAAATGGATAAAGAAAATGTGATGTTTATACAAAATGGAGTACCACACTGCCATAAAGAAGGATAAACTTGAGTCACTTGTAGGGTAATGGATGCAACTGGACACCATAATGTTAAATGAAATAAATCAGAAACACAAGCTTAAATACTGCATAATTTCTCTTATATAGAAAACCCAAACTGTAAATAAAATGAAGATGAATAATAGGAAACATGAAGATAGATCTTTTGCAAATGGGAAGAGGACCAAGAGATGGGAAGTAGGGGGAAAGGAAGAGGAAGGTGATGTAAAAAGAATTAAGATGTGTTGTGTACATGTATCAACTCACCAGAATGAATATAATCATTATGTACTACAAACATACTAATAAAAATTAAATTTTAAAAAAATGGTAACATTCAAATTCATTCTTTTTTTTTTTTTTTTTGAAACAAGGTCTCACTGTGTAGTTCAGGCTGGCTTTGAACTCACTATGTAGCCCAGGCTGGCTTTGAACTAATGGTAATCCTCCTGCCTCAGCCTCCCAAGTGCTGGGATTACAGGCATGCACCACCATGTCTGGCTTTTGTCAAGCCCATTCTTAATTTTTTTTTCTGGCAAATAGTAATGCAGGCATGAGATAGTAGATCAAATTTGAAAATGTCTAAAGTTAAAAATTTCAAAGAGACTGATCCTCTTTCGGTTTTACTATTAATCATATTTCTGGAAAAAAAGTTTCATCTGATAATTGCTTTGATCACTGAGGTGCCTTCTAGTTCTAATACCATTATTTGCTTTCTCTAGCCTTCAAACTTCAATACTTCATTAAGGAGACTGATGGCTGTTTTTCTAGTTTCATTTGCTTGTGTTTTACCCATTTTCCTGGCTCATTTGCTTAAGAAAGCCTACCCCAAGTTATTAAGGAGATACTTCAGGTTTTTAGCAGGCAATTAATTGGTATAAGTATGGCTCCTGATCTCTACGGTGAACAAAGCTGAGAATTATACCTAAGCTTTCTCTCTGCACTATTTAGCCAGGGTCAAATCTGAATTCTAGAGTCTAGAAGCTGCTCTCAGTTTAGGCATGTATATCCCTGTGCATTTGCTCATTGGGACTGACTCATTTTGAAAGAGCCACTCAGGGTCTCACTGTAACTGTCACATGCTGTCAGACATGGCACAGAATAGCCAAAAATGCTACAAGCTTGATTTTCAATTTATTTTCATATACAGCTTTGCTGTTTTCTTTTCTACTCAAGTTTATCATTTATCTTCTAAATATTTGTAGGATGAGTTTACATTTCAAATTAATAAACCAAGAAACCCAGGGAAATCCAAAAAAATTAGACTGAAAATTACTTAATGTGTCATTAAGAATTAGAAATACATTTTAGAGTTGTCTCTTTTTACTTCAAAGAAAGTTCAGGGATCACCTGGAAGTGTAAAAAAGTTATCAGTGTTTGCCCTCTTACTAATCATGAGACATAGGCTGCCCTTTTTCACTTTTTTCTCCTAAAGTTTGCCTTTGTCTTGCATTATAGTGTGAGTTCCGTGAGAGAAGAGAGCTTGGTTTAAACCAATGTGAGTTTCCTTATGTCACACTGCATCTACCCTATCTGGAGCACAGCTATTCAAACATCGCTCTAGGTCAGGCCTTATTCACCTTACAACACACTTTCCAAAGTGTCAACCTCAGTGTTCAGACCATTTTCCATCTGGTGACATCTTCATAAACTCAAAGTAATGCTCATTCTGCAATATCCATGCCTCAGACTGAATTTTCCCGATCTACGGATTCTAGTTTGCCCAGTTGCTGTAAAATGTTTGAACAAAAACTATTTTTTAAAAAAATTATCTCAAGATCTAAAATAAACAGTATATATGTTCCTTCTGATTTTGAAGAGTTAAGGCACCAACTGAATTCCTACAAATAAAACAATTTTGTATGAATCCTTTCAGGGAAAAACGTATAATTATTTGGCACTTCCAAGATTCCTAAATTATCTGTTTGGAAACTTCTATTTTAGTATAAAATTATTTATCTAGGGAGTATAGCCATGTGTCATAATTTGCTTTTACAATGCCCACTGCTCGATCTCAACACTTCTGCATGGTCCCAGCCTAAACTGGTCCCCCAGCCTCTGGCAATCCCTTTATCTGTTCAGTTCCTTTCCTATTTCTATATTGGTTGATCCTAGCTCACCAGACTCCTGAAATCTGGGTAGTCCTCTCAGCAGTGGCCTAGAACATCATCTAATATACACACACCCCTTTGCTACTTCTCTAGCTTAACTGTATCTTTATCTCTCTTTCTCCAGACACAGAAAAATTTAGACACCTCCTTTCCTCTTCTCCATCTTTCCCAGGCCTGTTTCTCTAGCTCCAAGCTGCTGTATGACTGTATATATTTGACTCTTTCCTTTTCTAGTCTCTTCTCTATTGCCTCTTCACCAGTCTTAAATATTCAAAAATCATCTTGATACTAGAGGCCTTTTCCATCAAATGTCTCCTATAAACTAACTCTTTTAGGTCACTCCTCACTTTCTTGAACCACCCTAGCTTCCTATCTCTGGACCTTCTCAAGAGAGTCACATACAAGCCTTCTATCCTCACCTAATGCTATTGAAACTGTTATCATAAACAGTCTCATGAAGGCTATCAGGGACTTGGGAAGCCCGAGTCTAACAGTTTTGTTTCAATCCTTATTCCAAAAGACAGCTATTAATGACAGGAGCAGTTGTTCCACAGTAATTTCTCTTTGCTGTTAAAAAAGGAATATCCCAAATAAATTCCATCAATCTTTGCAGCTAGACGTGGTCAATGTGAGGAAGTTCTAGCTAAATGTATAACAGTAGAAGTCATGGGAAAAATATTTGGTCACATCCTTAAAAGGAAAGGATGTATCTTCAATTCCCCTTTCCTTTTCTTGGCCACATTTACCATGAAGATTAGTCATATTCCCTGGAGATATAGAGGATCAAGCCAGGGCTCCAGAAGGTGTCACAGCACACAACTGTCCTACACTTTTGATCCACGTTGAGTTCAGAAAGACCTATTGGCTCACAGCCACTATGCTAGAAAAAGGCAGAATTACAATAAAACCCAGGTCCAAGCTTAGCATTCTCTCCAGCATTCTACTTGGTAAACTGTGGTAGGTTCTGGGTGAGTAGGTCCTCACCGCTTTCATTTCCTTATGCCCATGATGACTTCTGGCAGTCTATTCAGTCACCAACTACTCGGCTCTGCAAAGTCTAAAAATACTTCTAAGAGATCTACTTATACAAACCTCGTTTGGGACTGTCTTTCTCCTCCAGAAGCACTAAAACTTCTCTTTAAAATGCCTGCAACAGAAATATAAAAATAACTTCATCATTTTCTCCACAAATCTTTTTTTTAAATGCTGCATTTCTGCTATCTGAACAACTGTACATACTATAAAGATCATCTTTGTTCATGACAGCCTCAGCTAAAATATAATGTTACAAATTACTATTTACTTGATAGGCTTGTTTAAGGCCTTTCTTCCAAAGAAAAGATGCTAAGCAAACAAAAATAAATTATTAATAATTAACAAAATAGTCTTCCTAAAACCTTTCCCAAGGCAGCTACAAGTTACTACATGCAAATTTTAGAGTCTAGTTTCTCCTTCCCACTTCCCTCCCACCCCTCTCCACCACTGTTATCAAGGATAAACAACATTGAACTCGTCATAAAACAGTAACGACTGCTCCTAGAATTTGTTAGACAAGTCTGTATGCAAGAAAAGTTCTTCCTGTATTATATTCATGTTTTCCCACTTGCAAATCAAGACATGCTATCAAGCAGGCAGAAACTTACAGAGAAACTAGGACAGGGAATTGGAAATTGTGATTGTCCCAGAAAATCTGGACAATCTAGTCACCATTTTCATGGACCAATTAAGTCTCTAAAAGACAAAGAATATAGCTAACTCCTTAAGGTTCTATTTTGATCCACAGACTACTTTAAATCTTCCCTTTTGAGATTTTTTCATGGTCTAGTCACTGAGGGAGAGAATTTACACTTAATTTATTTTATTTTATTTATTTTTAATTTAATTTAATTTAGAGCATTTCTATCTATCAGTTTTATAGTCTATCAATTTTCTTTTAAAAGAATTGGGTTTTTTTCTCCATTTTCTATTTGAATATCTTTCAATTTCAGGCTTGTTGAGTACATTTGATCCTATCTTTCTTTACAATCTTCAAATTCTATCTACGTATATCTTTTTCTTTTCTTTCCTGTTGCTTATATAACTACTTTTTTCTTGTTTCAAATGAAGACTAAGGTGAATTAATGTATTTTTCATAGTTGTAAAATATTCAGATATTACTTCTACTTTAGTATTTTTAAATATAAATACATCCCTCTACATTAATGTAAATAAAATTGCACAAAAGTTGTCTATCCCAAGGCTAGTTTCTTCTATACATTTCTAATTCCTCTAGCTAATAGAATCATAAAGGGTCACTTCTCTCATTTGTGGCTATTTACCTGTCTCCAAATCAGTTATCTCAGTTTCCCAATAAGAGCTTCACTTGCTGGCAAGAATAATAAAATTATCCCCTGACAGCTGCTGGAATGTAAAGTCATGGTGTTAGTGGCCTCCGGGCTCTGGAGGAGACACAGGCATATGTGTCCCAACCAGCACTGCACCTGAAAAACCTACCAACTCTAGGATAGGCATATGGTATGACTCCAAACCACTACCTACTAGACTCCCACAAATGACAGACTTATAAAGAAAGCTTACTGAACGTAGAGTCTTTCAAAGGACTTGAGCTCAAGCTGCTGGAGTTATCCGAAATGTCCAATTCATCATCTAGCTCTGAATATATATCTGTACATCAATAAAAATAAAGAAGCAAATGAACCTTGAAACAGAGTTGAGAGTGCATTCATGCTGACAGGACACTCTTTCACCTAAAGTACCTTTCTCAATAGCCTCCAAGTTGAAGTTGTCCTCAGACAGTATTTCATCACAGGCTCTGTCTTCATCCTTCCCACAGGGAGCCTGGAAGCCTTCTGGGGCCAGCTCTGCACTTTCTGAAAGCTCGCTTTTCAGGCTGGCTGTTCCACTGCTGCTGCTACTCAAGCTCACCTTCTCAAAGGTTTCCTGGAAAAAAAGATTCAATATTTAACTCTGTCTTCCTTTTTCTCACCTTTGTAGCACTCAAAGCTTGTTAGGATCAGCCCGCGCCCCAGCAACAATCCACTGGACACCTCCCACACACTCCTCTCTACAGCCACCTGGTTCCACACTACAAAGACACAGAGGACACTGGACCACTAGACCACAGTACTGAGCCCCGCCACTCCCAGCCCAGAGGTAGGGGCTTCTGAGCTGCCCTCCCACTGCTCCTGGTCCAGAGAAAAGGGCTTCCTGGCCACCATCCCTCCTGCTGCTCCCAGCCCAGAGGAAAGGGCTTTTGGGCCACCTTCTGTCCTGCTGCTCCTGGCCCAGAGGAAGGGGCTTCCAGGCCACCATCCCTGCCACCACTCCCAGCCCAGACGTAGGGGCTTCTGA